CCCTAAGATGATTAATCCCCGAGGTATAGCTTGCAGGAGGGGCTTATGACTCTTCCCACTTCTTTACACCTTTCTGACTCAGTGCTGTTGGAACGGCTGGCTGGGGCTGACATTTCTGAAACAGCTCATTCCCGCTGGGCCCCTGCAAGCGACGTCTGTGGAAGTGATCACTGCAGCAATAGCGTTAATCAGGGCAGAACAAATAGGATCTCTCAAAGTGGAGAACACGTAAGCAGTGTCTCTGTGCGTGCAGCCATGTACCTGTGTATGTATACAAATTGTGTGTGCGTATGAGCACACATGGGTGGCTTCCAAGCCATCATCCAGCATCACATGTAGCCTCTGGGGCTGAATATTCCCTAGTTTGTATAGGGTTGCATTCCAGATTCTTCCTCCCCACCCCAGAACTGATCAGCACTCAGAATATTCAGGTGCTCGGTGTAATAGAGATTATTAAACCACAATTATTAAACTATACATTCTGCAAACCCTGGACTGCCGTCTCTTCATAAGCATCATAGAGTGAGTTTGGCATCCTTCACATGAATCTCTTTCCACTTCTCTTTTCTCTTGAAATGTGGCAATTGGATCCCTCCCAAATACTGACAGGACTGAATGATGCTGTAGTAAATCCTTTTTGACAAAAAGTCTACATTGCATAATACAAACTATTGCTAAGCTTATGGAGAGTGCATCTATTGAAGAGGAAAAGGTACAGAGTGCTCTGCAAAAAGCTCAGGGGTAAGAGTTTAGCATACAGCTCTGGTAAAAGGAAACCAGTCCCTATGGAATTAACATTTACTTCCTTTTTTTAAAGCTTTTGGAAAGTTTGGGAATTATCTGCTTTGATATAGTAAGTTGATTGTGTTGTTCCATTCAAATTAGGTTTATCAGGTAACATCTGGTGGGAACAGAAGGCCCAGTGTTCTAGTTTGACTGATTGAAGTTAATATTGTTTTGCTTTTACACAGTTTCGGTTGACGACCTCTTTGTGTTACAGATTCATTCTCCAGGGTTCCTTTGCTCTTTTTGGAAAATGTTACTAGAAGAATGGAAGACATAGTGATAGCTTCTTATCCATTTTGTCTTACCTTTTGAGGTTGCTGAAGGTTGTGCAATAAATGATTTGTCTGTAAGGTGAATTAATTTCCCATAGGATGCTCATAACTTTTATTATTGTCAGCCCTCCAAGGTAGTCCAGGCAGGAAACCAAAACCATGGGTACTAACACTACCTTTATTGTAAGGTTACAGTAACAAAATCTTGCAAGTTTGAAAGCACTTCCCTCCTCCCCTGCTTTACTTTCCAGAGAACTAGGGAGGGTCCCTTCTGAGATACTTTCTTCACCCCCATCTCTCCTTTAGACTCAGATTTCTCTTATCAGACTGTTGTGTAGGCTGCGGCTCTTCCTCCTGTCTCCCAAGGTTATTTTCACAGCTCATTACAAGTATTCACATTCAGCTCTTCAGTCATCTTCAAAGAACTATGATTGAGGGGGCTAACAGTTCTGTGCCAATTTCACAGTTTAGCCAGCAGCAATCAGAGGTGAGGGATCAGAGCACCCTGTGAATGCCAGCTGACCAATGAGCCCATTTAATAGAATTTTATCTGTTCCTTCCCCCTCCCCCTTTATAATGTGGCCACTTACTTAAGTGCACATACACTTTCAGCTTTTGCTGTGCTCAGTAACCATGTTGTTTAATTCCCCACACCTTGCAAAACAAAGGACTCTTCCCCTTGAGAAAGTAACATAGAAGAACACAGCCAAATGGTCACCTCTCAGTTTTGCAGAGAACTCTTTTTTATGTATAATTTTTATTAAAGATTTTCACATAAGTAAAAGATAAACATGAAATTATATAGAGGGAAATTAAAAAAGAAAAGATAAAAGATAAAAGGACAAGTAGAAAAGACAGTGCGGGTAGGAAAAAGAAAAGAAAAGATATATAAAGAAGCAGCTTCCAATTTTCTTTACAGCAGTTACAAACAAATTCATTATCTCTCCTCCCTCTTTAAAGTTACAACATGATTCTCTTCGTCCCATATTCAACCCTTTTTAATCAGCAGATCCATAAATCACCAATCCATTTTTTTCCATTTTCAGCAAAAAGTCCATAAGAGGTTTCCAGTCCTTTATAAAAGTATTTGTCTTACCCCGAAACAAACAGGTCATTTTTGCCATTTTTGCCAGTTCTGCCATCTTCATGATCCACTCCTCTGTTGTGGGTATTTCTGTATTTCCCCATCTTTGTGTATATAATAGTCTCGCTGCAGCTACCATGTACAAAATCAGTCTTCATAAGTCTTATCTAATTGACATTCATAAATCCAAAGTTTTGCAGAGACTCTTCCTTACTGTACTTTCAATTTTGTACAGGGGTGTTTGTGTGCTCTCACTCTCCACTCCCCATATGTGGATAGGTTTAAGTGTGTGTACGCACATCCATATCCCTACCTCCCATTTGGAATGCAGCCCTAACAAACTGTTCTGTCAAGGTGTCCTCCGTGCACATTGGTGTAATGAGACGAAATTCAAAACTTTGCCAAGGTGGTTGGGCCTGGATCGCAGCAAATATTGATATCCTGAAGATGAAGGCTGGAGTTAGCTATCCTTTTCTGTAGATGCCTGGTACATGTTTTGTGCCTGCCATCCCAACCTTCTTTGCAGAAAGCCTTTCTGAAAACTATGTGACATTTCAATCCTGATAGCAAAAGAGCATTCTTGCCATTATCTGGCAAAGTCACGTAGAATGTCTCAGCTCTTTGGCTTTCGTTGTTGAAAAGAACAATGGAACAGTACAAAGTGAAATGCAGCAATAACAAACTATATAGATATGGTTATGTTAGGACTGTCAAATAGGAAAAAAGGACATATAGGAATAAATAAAGGGCATAGTTAATTAAAACATTGCTTGCGTCATGGGGCCTTCCTCACTTTGCTCTATTTCCTGTCCTTCCCCAGAAAATTACGAAAACCAGGGACTGGGAGTTGTGTGCATTTTTAAAGTTAACCAAGTATAGCAGCTTAAAATATTGTATTGTAAGGGTAGCCTTTATAGTAGGAGCTGCTACCAATTATGATTTAAAGTTGTCGGAACATTGAAGATTTGCCGATAATGGAGCAAGTCTTTCAGTTTTGCTTTCTATGGCATAATGTTCACTTCCTGGATTTATTAAAACTATTTTTGAAAGATACTTGTGGATCAGTATTTTTCCTTTCAGCAGCAACCTTCACTGTTTTCCTTATGTCAAAGATTGCCCTATGCCCTAGATGACTGAATGAAGGACATTAGTGCAAGCTGCTAGAATTTGTGCTCAGTGAATTTGTGGTTTATTACTTATCACTGAACAACTTTTATTCTTTTGACAGATTTATCTTCAGCAAAACGGAAATTTGCAGACTCCTTGAACGATTTCAAATTTCAGTGTATAGGCGACGCAGAAACAGATGATGAAATATGCATAGGTAAGTGCATAGGCTTTGATTTGTACAGTGGCTGAAATAGGAGGAATGCGGATAAGAATGAAGGGGAACGTAGATACTTATAGTAGTAGTCAGCAAAGATGAGCCTGTAAATTATTAGTCAGCTTTTGTAAAAACCGAAAAGGATTGATTGATTGATTAATTAATTAGTTACATTTGTGTGCAGCACACTCCCTTAATGGCTCTTGGTGGCTCACATATACATTTAAACCAGCAGAAATACAATTAAAACAAATATTAACGTAATAGAACAAAATGTTTTAAAACTCTGAAAAAGTTTAATTAATTTAATTAAAACTCTTGGTAGACAAGTATGTTTTGGGTGTAAAATAGTAATAAGAAGGGGCTCCTTCAGGTCCAATGACAGTTATTTCCACAACGTTGGCCCTTCATGGAAAAAACAACATTAGTAGTAGATGTCAAATATATCTGTAGTAGGACCCACAAAAGGTGCTCTGTTGATGATCTAGCTGGACAGACTAGGTAACTACATGGTCCTGTAAGGAGCTTGATGTTAAGCCAGGTAAGATATTCAAAGAAGTTTTAGGATGGGGGTTGTATGGGGTCATTCATCTCCAGTGCTACTCTGCATTCTGAGTCAGCTGCAATGTATCTTCAAGGGCCATCTCATGAAGACTGCATTACAATAATCCAATTTCATACTACCGTTAGTCACCGAAACCAAGTCTCTGTGCCCTCTGTAGGAATGCAATTGGTGCATCATCTGAAGCTGATAAAAGCCTCTGATATTTTATGGCTGTCCCGCATCAATGCTGGATCCAGGAGGACCTCCAACCCCCAAACCTCATTTTTAAAGAGGAATGCAACCCTGTCCAGAATAGATATTTCTCCTTAATCCTGAAACACAGCCCCAGAAAAAGTAACAACTCCATGTCCAGTTTCAGTTTGCCCTTCCACATTCAGTCCCTTCCAGCTTATAGACATTCAGAGGCCCCAAGAATGGAGATTAGTATCATTAGTATTAGTTAAGTATCATAAGCATATTGATTACTAACTTCAAACCTATATATGATCTCAGTGGCTTCACACTGATGCTAAATATCATGAGAAACAATTCCTTGCAGGACACCCCAATATAATTCCCATGGGAGAGAACAGGGGTTTCCTAGTATCTGTTTTTAGTAGGCCCTGGAGCTATAGGAGTCATCGCAAGTAACATCTCTGCCCCCCAACTCTCTGAAGTATTCCAAACAAATGGCCACCAGTGTCAGAAGTCACAGAGAGATCTTGTAATATAAATGCTGCTCCTCATGCTCTCTTGATACAGATCATCCATCAGAGTGACCAAGGCTATCTATGTCAGATCCAGGTCCAAACCCAGATTGAAAAATATCAAAATAATCTGTTTCATGTAGAAATTCCTGGAGCTACAGTGCCACTGTCTTCTCCACCGTCTTGGCTAAATATGGAAATTGGACATTTTGCTAAAATTGGCCAGGACCAAAGATGGTTTTGTATGCAAAGGCTTGACCACTGCTTCCTTTAAGGAGGTTGGAAACTGTCTGAAGAAGATAATGTTAATAAACTCAGTGACAAAGTCTTTAGAGGCTCTTATAAACAAAGCCATGGAGCGATCTAATATACATGTAATGGCACAAACAGTTCCAAGAACTTTATCCATTTCCTCAGAAGACAAATGGCCAAACAAAATTCAAAATGAATGTTATTGATTTGCCTCCCAAGATTTTGTTTAGGACTAAACACATTTCTGTTAGTTTATCTATTTAGACCTACAGTATTTGTGGAGACATGTTGAAGATAATGTCTCATCTGAAAGTCCAGACTATCTTTTCTGGATAATCACCTCTGCTGATCATCACACCAAATGGAAAATGGAGAAATGACTTATGTTTGCCTACTACATGAGCCAAGATTAGCTGTTGGGGATGAGGTTGCTATGTCCCCATTGTCATCCATTTGCATTGTTTCTTATCATGCACAAAAATCCTGCATTTTATTTGTTTGAGAAATATGGAAAACAAAAGAAATGTCTACAGGAATACCTTAGTGCTGCACTTTTTAAAGAGGCTTAGTTTTTATATAGGCAGCGTCAGATGGACTGATCATAGTTCAAGACACAGGAAGTATGTGCTCTGAAATCGGTGCCAGTTAGTCATTAATGTTGGGGGCTGTGCAATGCTTTGGGTTCTGTTGTTGTTTTGACTGATTGTCAAGTGGTGCTGTTGTCTTTTCAGTTATGTGGATACAAACACACAAACATACATATAAAGCATACACTTAAAATTAAAATTACAGTGTTGATAACATTATATAAAGAGAAACCTTGCTTCTATGAACTACCATTTAAGCAGTGCATATTGCAGCAATGGAAAATACTCATTGATTTTTAAGAAATTCACATTATGGCATTATAATGTTATAGCACTCTGTTCCTCCAATGCCTGTTTAAACATAAATAAATGAAAGACCCATTTCCAATCAGCCTATCAGCCTCTTGACAAAGACAATGGTGACTGAATTAAGTTTGTTTTTCTTATGTTTTGTGTTTTTATCTATCCATTCATCTCCCCCCCCCCGTGTATTTAAAATCATTATAAACATATAGTGTAGGTATATGTGTGTGTAGGGTATGTGTGTATGCGTAAATGTATGATATAGTTGTGCGTGCATGTGTGCATCTATTTGTTTGTGCATGTGGGTGTGTTTAGCTAGCTACCTATCCAGAATGTATAAGTGTGCTTAAAAGATAACTTTGCAAAATTAAAGTTTTCACAATTGGATGTCAGATATGTTGCCCCCCTGTAAAGGATGCCTCTTAAAAAGACAGACAGGTAACAGAAAGAGCAGTGGTTGGGAGAGACCAAAGTATGGTGTTACATAAAAAGCTCAATGCCCTCAAAAAGCATGGAAACAAATGACAGAGAAGGAAAACAATAATATGAACATGGTACTTAAATGTTTGTTCTTCAGTAGGACATACTTGCCTTGTTTATGGATGGCAATAAAGGTCAAGGTAGAAATAGGCCAAGCAATCCATGATTTGGTCTCATACCAGTTTATTTTGTCTTCCTAGTACTTAGCACTCTCAGGGCAAGAAAGCTTACTTTTCTTTCATAGTATTCAATACTCTTGATTGTCTTCCTTTTGTTCCTCATAGCAAAATCCCTGCAAGAATTTGCTACTGTTCTACGGAACCTAGAAGATGAGCGCATACGCATGGTAAGAACCTTGCCTCTTTTTAGATACAATACCTGGGACGGTATTATAGAAGATAAATTTATAATGAGTGCTTGGGAAATATTTCAGGGCAAAGTGTGGTGGGAAAAACTTTTTGGAGATTATAGGAGTCATGTAAATATTTGTTCTCTCTTCTTAGCTTGGGAAATATTTCAGGGCAAAGTGTGGTGGGAAAAACTTTTTGGAGATTATAGGAGTCATGTAAATATTTGTTCTCTCTTCTTAGCTTGGGAAATATTTCAGGGCAAAGTGTGGTGGGAAAAACTTTTTGGAGATTATAGGAGTCATGTAAATATTTGTTCTCTCTTCTTAATGTACATGAGTGCCATCCTGGGTTCCAAAGAACAGTGTCCCAGGGACTGTAGGATAGATTAGCTTTTCTCTCTCCCTGAATTTAAAGGGAGAAAACTGATAATAAAACACCTCCTTTTAGTCTCTGAAACAGTTTTCCTTTATCAGAAAGTTTACCAGTGAAAAGACCTCAAGAGGAGAAAGGTACTGTGTAGGTGGGATAGGAGGCCATACCACCAATCACCATTAACAGTTAGATTTGCTCTCAGTGGGAGGATTTTTTTAAAGAAAGGGCAGTAAACAGTGCTATCTGTATGTTTCTGTCCTGTCAATCTTCTACTGGTTGGTCTTTGGAATAGTCAGAATCATGGTCTGTGTGTGTGCTATGAGTAGAAAAACTTATTGCTTTAATTTACACAGTATGAAGTAGAACAACCTTCCCAACTTGTTACAAGTTTTGATATATGCTGGCCATGAGAAGAAATTGTGGGTAATTTTTGTGGCGCTCTTGCCTGTCTTGGCCAGTGGCCATGGTATAGCTCAACAAATTGTCAACTTTTCTGCCTTAAAGAATAGCAATATTCATCCTTAGGGAGTAAGTCTTGGCAGCCTAATAGGGATAGCAAACCACAGTGAACTGCCTGCCGCTGAATCTATTTGGTCTTGCACTCAGAGAACAAAGACTGTATTATGCAGTCCAGCTTGTTTAGGCATTTTTGCTCCCAGCTAGATTAAAGTTTCCCTGATAGCATCACACATAGAAGGGACCTTAGATTTAGGTCATAGAATTGAAAGGGGCCTTGGAGGTCTTCTACTCCAACCCCCTGCCCAGTGCAGGAATCCTCAGACCAGCCTGGACAAATGCCATCCAGTCTATTCTTGAAAACCTCCAGTGATGGAACCCCCACGGCTCCAGGAGACAGGCTGTTCCACTGCTTAGTAGCTTTCACAGTTAGGAAATTCCTTCTTATTTCAGGTTTGGAACTCCCTCTGTAAAGCTTCCACCTAATGGTTCTAGTCTTACCCTCAGGCACCAAGGAGAATAAGTCTGTTCCTCTTTCTTGTGACATCCGTTCAGCTATTGAAAGACTGCTATCATGTCTCCCCTTAGCCTTCTCTTCTTTAGGCTAAACAAAGTTCCCGTAGCTGCTGTTTGTAGGATTTAGCCTCCAAATCCCTTATCATCCTTGTCACTCTTCTCCACACTTTTTCCAGTTCCTCAGTGTCCTTTTTGTATTTTGGTGACCAAAACAGGACACAGTATTTCAGACGCAGTCTGACCAGTGTAGCATAGTGTGATACTATCTCTTCCCATAATCTTGATGCAGCCCACTATAACATTGGCTGTTTTGGAAGCTGCAGCACACTGCTGGCTCATGCTTAATCTGTGGTCTATGAGAGATATCCAGATCCTTCTTGCAAGTAGTACTGGTGGGTCAGGTACCACTTATTTTGGATATGTGCATCTGGTTTTTCCTACCTAAGATGAAATGTGCAGACTGTGTTCATGTTTATAGTATAGTATAGTACAGTACAGTACAGTATAATATATAATATATAATATTATTTTTATTATAGTTTTATTTAAAAAATTAAAGGGAGATAAAAACTAACAGAAACTAATATAGATTAAAGAAGAGATAGAAGAAAAGGAAAAAAAAAAAAGGAAGAGCCAAAAGTGCAAAAGTAAGAAAAGAAAAGAAATATGAAGACGTAGCTTTTGATTTTCTTTACAGCAGTTGTAAGTATAAATTTACCTTTTATTCTATGGTTACAACATAAGTCACTTTTTTTCTATAATCTATTTTTCCTAATCATCAAACCCATAAATCATAAATTCATTTTTTTCTGTTTCATGCCAAAAGTCTAAAAGGGGTTTCCAGACCAATAAACATAGATAATGGCTTTTCTCTAATCAAAGAACTCAATTTAGCCATCTCAGCAAGTTCCGTGATGTTCACCATACATTCCTCCATTGTGGGTAGAGTCGAGTCTTTCCACCTTTGTGCATATAATAATCTCACTGCAGTTAACATGTATAAAAACAGAGTTCCATGGTTTTTTTCCAGCTGTTTCAGAAACCTCTGGAATAGCTCTAAGTCTCAAACAGAATTCCTTCTCTCTCAGTTCCGATAGAGCCAGATTATCTAGTTCTCTTCCCAACTCTCTATCTATAACTTCTGTCTTATTCTCCAAAATTTCCACTTTGTCATTCATTTGTTTTACATCTCCAGATACTTGTTTTATAGTTTTCCATCTTCTTAACTTCTTCTTTCATCTTCACAAGTCTTTCATCCATTTTTTTCCCAAAAGCTGTTAATTTAGTATCAAATGACTCAGCAAGTTTACTACTGAGTTGGTCAAACATTTTCTGAAGCAAACCTGGTGTTTTTGCTCTCTCTGCAGGTTGTTCTAATGATCCCCTCCTTCCTTCCATTCTTGCTGCTTTTTGAGTTGTTGCCATTATATTGTAATCCAAATGTCTCAAACAAAGGAAAGGGGAAAGACAAGTTTCCCCCCTTTTTTTCCTTTTATCTTCCTGTGCCTTTAATACTTTAGTCTCTAATGGCACCCTGTAATTGCAGTCAGTGTCACATTCCACATCTCCATAGTTACGGCCAACCACACAGTCTACTTGTATTACACTTATCTTTTGTTTTGTAAAATCGTCCAATTATCTGCAGTCTTTAGTAATAAACAAAAAGCATTCCCACAGAAGTCCAGTTCATCTTCCTAATTTAATTTCAATTTATTCCGATGCACTTTCACTAAAAAATAATCTTTTAAAATAACTATCCCCTTTGTCTGTTTTAAACTTTCTTAAATTGTCTCCTTGTTAAGCTTTTTTGCCAGAAATTTTTAAGTCTTTGAGGTCCTTGAAGCCTCTTTTTAGTTTTATAATCCAGAAAAAATGATAAACTCACTTATCCTGCTGCAAAGAAAATCTCTCTTTATCTGTAGAATAATTCAATCCAAAAGTGAATAAGAAGTGAGGTTTGGCTGGGCTTATTGTCCATATAGGCTACACTATGGCTGTGAGCCTAGATGGAATCCTGCTACTCCCAGCCACTTGACGCATGAGTGACTGCAAAAACTTCGTTCCTGCAGTTTACTCATGAGGAGCTGCTGTCTGGAGTACAAGTGGAGAGATTTTGGTGGCCAGCATTTGCCCTCTGGTCGCTGATCTCCGTTGTACTGTCCGCTCTTTTGGGAGACATCTAATCCACCTTAGTCCTCACTGGAAGTTCTTCATGTTTCCTACCTTGATGTACCCTCTCAATAACTCAGAAATAAAAAGCTGTCATTGCCACTTACATGCATAGCCATCATATGGGGTTGTTTTCAGACATACTAACCTGTTTAAAGCTAGAACACATTTTGGCTGCTGTTTATGATTCACTGAGCAAAAACTGATGCAAAGGCTTGATGTCATAAAAAACAACAAGATGATAAATTTCAGAGTAGAAGAGCTAAAAGCCAAAACTATGTAAAGCCAAATTCATAGCAGGAGAGGAAAAAGCTTTATTCGTTTTAAAAGTTTGCCCCCCTCCAAAAAGTTTTAACCAAATATTTAAAATATATATCAAAGTCGGGGGAGAGGCAGTTGCCTAGGTAGGGCATTATATAAGTGAGCTTTATAAGTAGCTATATTCTCAGTAGAACTGAATGTGCAAACTGGCCATTTATTTATTAATTTATAATCCACCAATATGTTGGGCAACCCAAGGCAGTGTACTTAATGCTCCCGCCTCTTATTTTCCCCACAACAACCACCTTGTGAGGTGGGTTAGGCTGAGAGAGAGTGACTGGCCCAGAGGCACACAACACTAAATTTGTGAGCAGAGAATTTGGAGGAACAATTTTTCCAAATTCTTCCAAGGGAAAGAGAATTTCTACAACAATTTCTAAAAGACAAGACCCTCTCTTAGCTGTCCCTCTCATGGAGACTCATCCTCAGACAGTGAGGAGGAACCAGCAGAGAACTTGGATACTGGTGGGGGGCCAAGAAAGGAAGAACAGGCCGAGCTGCCAGATACCTGCAGTCCTAGATTCTGATAGGGACTCCTATGCCCACTTGCGAAGCCTGCAAGAATAATGGTGACTCAAGTGAAGAGCTAAAGGGCTGATCATCATGAAACTAGAGAAAGGCTCCTTTGGAATAGTCTACTCAAGAGTTTTTGTTGTGTTCACATAGATTGGCACTTTGAACTGAGCTGGTGTAATTCATATAGTTTAGGGGAGGCTTGAAGCCTGGGATATAAAACTAGTTGTTTAGAGATGACCCAGGACTGGAATCAAAATCTTCAGTCTGTGTTCCCTAGAAATACTTGAGTTATTTTGTACCTTGACTATACTCTTCTCTTGGTTCAAAATTCTTTTGCTTCTTCTCTTATCTCTTGAGGCTATGAATAGATCCTGTCTCTGCTTCACACTCTGACTGGCTGCTGTTTAGCCAGAAGGAAAGTGTAGCAAGTCTGTCTGCCTGCCAAGCATGGTGCTTTCTCTGTGGGAACAGGACAAAGCATGAACAAAAAACAATTGGAGGACTTCCCTCACGATGTCTTCCTTTGGGATTTAATTGAAACATCCTGCAGAGATGATTGTACAATGACAGAAAATTCATACACAGCCCTTGTAACTGAGCGCAAGAGCGTCCTATTCTGCTTTTGAAAACGTTTCTGCAATTCTGTTCTCTGTGAATGAATTTCTATAGCTAATTTCCCCCCTCCAATTGAATGAGAACTGGTTAAAAAAATGCAGGAGAATTTCTCTGCCTGGCACTACTATTTGCCATTCAAACATCCGCGTCAACCTTCCATTATCTTTAAGATACCTTGGTCTCAAAAGTTACAGATAAAGCTCCATTAAAACAAAAAACTTTCAGCCAGACACTTCTTGCCTCCTGTGACCCCTGACTTTGTAACTTTGGAATGCTTTGAATAAGGGGGTCTACATAAGTAGCAAAAGGTTTTATGGTGAAGATTAGAAAAGCTAAACAGTGTTTACAAAGTTTTAGAATTAGAATTGTGTTTAGGCATTGTTTTACCTTGTTTGGTGGTTGCTTTCACTACATACATTTCCAGCCTATGATCCACATGCTATTGGAAATCTGCAAAGATAGAGCAGACAGTGTGAAGCGTGGAAGTTAGAATTACAGTGTTATATTAAAACACTGAAATATCATGAGCTTAGAGAATCTCAAGAGGTCATGGCTGTTTTTAAAAATCTACTTAATTTTGGGGTTTCATGGATGCCAGCTGAAAGGACCTTGTGCTCCCATGGGTGCCATATTATGAACCCATTTATTTCTTTGGTGTGTATAGCTGCCCAGTTGACATTTGACTCTGGGTGGCAAACATGTTAAAAACAGCAGTACAGACATCAACAAAAACCAAAACACAAAAGCAGCACATGTATCTACATCAATGACCCCCTAAAAATAGACTTATTTGACTTCCTGGCCCAGTGCCCAGGAAAAATGCCAAGTTTTTAATCTGTATGGAAATCCATCAGGGTTGGGGCTGTGAGTGTTCCACAGTGTTAGCAGTCCACATGGCGCAGTCCCTTGAACCATCACATTGTTATAGTGATCCACCTAAAGCAGTGTTGTCCAAACTTGGCCACTTTAAGATGAGTGGACTTCAACTCCCAGAATTCCTGGCTGGGGAATTCTGGGAGTTGA